CAGGTACTGTTTGGTGGTGGTGTGTTAGAGTGTGTTGCGCTGGACTGAGTGGATCAGACACAGCAGTGCTGGTGGGGTGTATTTTGAATTCTGCATTTTTCGAAAAAAGAATTGTGAATATTAAAATATACGATTGAAAAACATGTTTAGGCCTGTTTCCAGTTAATCCAGTTACCACGGTAACAGCCTCCATGGTAAAAACTCTTGCTCATCTGGCAAAACAGGTTATTTCAAACACCATCAGGCAATATGGCTTCAGATAAGCAGGTAAAGAGCTAAGCTAAGCTGCCCCAGACTCTCAGACAGCAGAGTTTGTGTGACAGTCGTGATTCCATTCTTTATTACTGGATTAATTACAATTCTTTGGCTAAATTGATGATGACAGTGTACTACAACCACAACTTTTACTGAACTGTGATTACGACTCAACTTACTATTAACACTATCACTGTGTTCTCCCTCGCATCCGCTTCAGTGTACGGAGCTGTCAGAAAATTACAGGATGAAATGGTAAAATTACCCCCCACCACCCAGTTCTGCTGTTTACTGTAGCTATTTTCACCACCGTTACCCAAATAAGGGGACTCAGTTACCAGCACAGGCCTACTGATTCCTTTACTTCACCAAACAAAACAGCTCTAAACAACTTTAGCTTGTGCATGTGATGAAATGAAAATGGTATTCTATGGACTTGAAAGTCATGGCTCTTCAAGGGTTCTTTAGTAAAGAAAATGGTTCTATATAAACACTCAAAGAACCCTTTTGCAGGATTAAAGCGTTCTTTGTGTTGTGATAGGGTTCTTCACATTGATGGCGAATGTGCAGTAGATGGTTCTATATGGAACCTTTTTGAAAAGGGTTCTTCAATTGTTACAAGCTTGACACTGTAACAATAGAAGAACCGTTTTGGGTGCTATATAGAACTCTTTCAAAAAGGTTCTATCTAGAACCATCTACAGCACATTCTCCACCAGTCTAAAAAACCAAGGGTTTTTTGAGTGTTCATATAGAACCATTTTCTTTACTAGAGAACCCTTGAAGAACCTTGTTTTTTAAGAGTGTACATTTCTTGATATTGAAACAAATGGAAAAAAGTGCAGACTGTAACCTGTTGATATGCAATATAACTCAAACGTAAATGTAGTTCATTATAGTTCATTGTGTAAATAAATATCTAATTATGTAATTACATTTTAAAACAATCATAACAGCTCAACCTTCAGAGGTTATATAGGAAACAGGGTGTAACAAAGATTCGATTATGACTGATCAGGAAATGATTCAGTGCAAACTGTAAAAGTTTACATTTCACCACAATTCAATTTAATTAGTTTGGTATAAAACAGAATAATTATTAAAAATACTGACTACAAGTGTGGCAGCAGTGGAACACACACACACACACACACACACACACACACACACACACACACACACACACACACACACACACACACACACTAACTACAATCATTGTTAACCACAAAGTTTTGTGTGATTTTTCCAATTAAAAATAAACAGAATTTAGTTTGACCCATAATTTAACCCATAATTTCTTCCAACATTCCAACTTCACAGCACTTCAATCATAATACATCGATGCATTTTCATATAATATTATCATATCGATGTATAAAAATGTATCAATGCATGTGTAATACATTGAACTGCACTGCTGTGCTTCAAAATCAATAATCAAACATCAGTGCCTTTTTATAGTATAACATACTCCTAGGCATTAAAAGAGGAGCCCAACTTTTTACAAACGCTGGCCACCAGTGCGGTTACTTTGGGTCAAGCATCAGCGACCGAATTTCCCAAGTAATCACAGAGAACAGGCGCTACAAGAAAATCTCTTCCAATGACTCTCGTGTCCATCTGTGGTCAGTAAGTCCATGCAAGGGCCCCCCCTCCTAATTTGGGATGGCTGGAGTGGAGATTAGAGCTGGGTATGCGTGTAATGCCCCAATGAGGGACTAAAGCCGAGCTGGAGATGCTTGTACACAGCATCCGGGCAGTTCTAGCACTGAGTCGTCAGGGTGGGCCGCATTTCTCGCTGCTTCTAAAAGTGGAGTCTGCGCGACTAAGTGGCCTCCAGCTGTTGGCGCAGACAGCTCTGAGCTACGCCTGATTTAGCCGCTTAAGAGACATGGGGTATGAACGCAGGGTGGGCGAGGCTGGGCAGAGAGAGAGGCAGTCAAGAGTGGAGCTGGACAGAGACGTAATGGAGTTGACAACTGGATGTGCCAGCAATGTGCCAGCGTAAACATACCGGAAGAAACCAAATGTTCTTCTAGCAGCTGCTTTACAGTGACGATGTGACCGTACGTACTGTTATCTGTAAAATGGACAAAAGTACCAAAATTGTTCAGCCTTCAAGATGGCGGACGCTGTTTTTGCCTTGTGTTTGAGATGACTGAACAGCTCGACACAGTTTGTGTTGTGCACCTGTGTAAGTGTTAAAATTTAGAGTAGAATTTAAAGAATGCAGTTTGCACAATGCCATCGAGTGGGTATAAGCTATCACTGTTTGTTAGCTACAATAGCCTTGTAGCTCCAGCACAAAACAAGCAAAAAAACATGTATTAGCTGACCGACTGTATTTGGTGTGATAGTAAACTTGTGTACGTTTGATTTATGGCATACATGATATATAACTTTAAATATTTTCTTTAAATATACGGAGATCCTTTTGCCCTTCAAACCATCAGCTCTTCATTCAGGCTCTCAAACTGGGCATTAATCGTTCTGCATAGTTTCCACTGTAAAAAGTGCCTTAAAGATACAAATTAGGGTAACATGATATTTATTGTTACTGTGATCAGTTACACAATAATGCTTTTGGATATCACCAGTATTTCTACACTCTTGCAAAAGGCGGTTCTTCAAGGGTTGCTTATTAAAGAAAATGGTTCTATACAGAAACATGAACACCCAAATAACCCTTTGCATGATTAGAGGGTTCTTTGCATTGTGAAAGCATTCTTCAGATTGATGGAGAGTGTGCTGTAGATGGTTCTATATAGAACCTTTTTGAAAATGGTTCTATATAGCACCCAAAAGGTTTCTTTCATTGTTACAAGCTTGACACTGAAACACTAGCAGAGGGCTTTTTGGTGCTATATAGAACCATTTTCAGCACTATAGACTATAGACTATACACTCTCCATCAATCTGAAGAACGCTTTCATGATGCAAAGAACCCTCTAATCATGCAAAGGGCTCTTTGAGGGTTCATGGTTCTATATAGAACCATTTTCTTTACTAAAGAACTCTGGAAGAACCATCTTTTTTAAGAGTGTAAAACACAAACTGTCTGTATGGTTCATTACAGAGTGAGAATAATTAGGCCTGTGTAACTGGATTTAGAGCAGCTCAGTTTGTGAAATGTTGAATAAAAATAATTTAAGAAGTCTCGTTCCAGAAAGCTGAATATCCATTTGTAACAGTCCTGGATATAAAACTATATAAAAAAATCTTATATGCGTAAAGCCCACTTCCAGCAACACATTTTATGAAAAAAGAACTTTTTGGAAGTGGCTTATAATTTAAATGTGGCACCACTGGTTGTTTTTTGACAATTCCAACTTACCAGATGTCCGAAGAAAAGAAAAATAAAACCTGACACACTGTGTATTCTGTATAGTGAAAACAAAGAAATTTCAGCCACTGAAACATTTTAAGTGATTATGGTCAAAAATAGCATTTCCGATTTTCAGCTGACAGAAAAAATACAGAAAAAAGAAAGAAAACACAAGATTACATTGGATTACATTAGTGTCAGAATTTCACACTTAACCAATCACTTGATTGAGACGCTGACAGACATGTTTAAACAGTTTGAGCAGCAGCAGATAAACAGTGGAAAAAGGAAAGTCGGTCATGTGGAACTATTTCATTGTTTCTATGAGGGACGTTAGACAAGCGTTTTATAATCTCTTCTCATGCCAAGTTTTAAGAGCGAGTACAACAGCCAAGAACTTTCCACTTAATAACCATAATATAGCAAAACAACAAAAGGAGGAAGGAAAGTTATGGCTATCATGCTAATGCTATCTGTAGTTTTGAAATTATGAAAAAAAATCACAAACAACAGAGCAAAAGTGTAAAGAATATGGAATCAATTGTCTTGGATGGTCAACCATACTCTGTGGTCAAGGATGTTGGATTTCGTGGCACATACTTACAACATCATTTTAGTAAGTATATTTTGTGCAAACTGCATTTATTGTTGGCTTCGCTTTGTCCTATTGAAAGCAGATCAACGAACAATTAGAAGTGTTTTCTTTGTTAGTTTGTAGTTTTTATGTTTAGTGTGTTTATTCAAAAGCATAAATTAAACAGCAAATTAAAAAAAAAAACACTTTCAGTTTTGGTTTTGGACCAAGTGTCTCTTGAATTTTCCTTTCGGTGCATCACTGAAGCAAACTGAAGGAAAAAGTGAGTCTAGTGAGTCAAGTGTTCTACTGGAAGGTAGAGGAACACAAAAACCCAATGACAGCTGGTGGGCTTCACAGCAGAGGCCTGGACTCTTCTGTTTAACAATCCTATTTGTGTGCCAAGCTCAGAGTCCATAAACTCACTTGTAGCTCTTAACTAAGAGCTCCTAAACATTTAAACTACAAGACTCAGATAAGAGATCGTTTCGGGCTCAGGCAGTACACTGGGTTCATAAGCTGTATTAAATTACACTATAACAATATCCGTGCTCTGTATAGTGCCCCATAGCTATCACGTGAAAAGATGATTCATGCATCAATAGCACGCTGCTTAAAGAGGAGCTTCATTACATCTCCCATGAGGATGTGCTTTAGCCACACACTGTCTGTAAGTAACCCGACTGGATCCTGCCTTTACTTGAATAAGAATGTATCCAGTACTTGCCTGCAGTCTCACTATTTCAGTAATGCAATGTCTAAATGCTGAGATTTGACTCAGAGTCTCAATGTAATATCAATTAAGCTGTTACACACAATACTATGAAGGAAGACAGTACTTACAGGGGATGCGACTGGCGTGCCAGGGGGCGGAGTTAGTTACAAATCCATATTTGGATGCTGCGACGATGACCCAGGTCCCGGGGCGATACATAAAGGTAACCCTCACAATGCCATCCTCTCCTGCTAGTCCAGAGGCCAAAGTGGACTGATTTCCATACACCTGAACTGCAGCTTCCTTCAGAGGTGAAAGGTCACTGTTGTCAAAGACCTGGACTTTAATCAGCACTTCTGTAAAAATAGAGAGAGAAAAAATCCCTGAAAAATTGAAAATGCATGTAAAGATACATCGCTGCAAATCAAATAGCTTAGCTTAACCAACATTCTCAGCATGTCAACAAGGAGCCCAACTGTTCAACCCCCTTTAAGGTGAAGTCCAACAAATTTTCAAAATGCCTGTAATTAAACAGTTAAAATGTAAAAAATGTCAAGAGGGTTTAGGTAAAATGTGTCATTCCACAGTCAGAATTGTTCACAATGATGGTGATGGGAACCAGACACCCAAAGAGTGTATTACCTGTAAAAGCTGCCTCATCAAAAGTTGTTATTACATGATATAGTTCTGAATATGCCGCCTGATGCATGAAACATTAACTTATGATGGCTTGGAAATAAAGTTTAGGTCTAAAATGTATTTTTTAAACATTCATGGCAGAGAGGTACATACAGGGCGTATGGAACAACAGTCCGCTTATTAAAATACTACCATCAGCATCATCAGCATTACATATTAAAACTCAGTAAACACACATAGGTTCACTGGTTGTTTTGGATAGTCAATAAAATGGCTATAGTTGCACTGCCGAGTCTGCAACTCACGGTTCTTATCACCACCAATTGTAGAAATATGAAGTCAATATTGCGATATTTCATTGTTATTGTGATAAATGTCACAATATGATTTTCTGAGCATATCATGAATATTGTTAGTACTTAAAGAGCACTGACCAACTGCATACTTCATTAAAAAGAGAGCATAACTAGTCCTGTTTAATTATGAACTATGGAATAAAAATCAAAGTAGTTGTAGGTTTACTTTTCAAATCTCAAAAAAACGAATTATCGTGATGCACATCCTGTAAGGTATAAACGTCGTGAAGTATCATGATACAATATTTGTGCCCTATTGCCCACCACTATGTATACCCCTGATCTACTGCTGAAAACATGGCAGTTTATTCAGGTATGTGGGGGGAAAATGTTATGATTATACCAGCAGCAGTTGAACTGCTTGAGCACAATAAGTCATCACTGCTTTTGTTGACAGAACATCTAAACACACATCGCGTTGGCCCACATACAGCAGATAGCAGAGAAAGGCATGGCTGTGTTTAGACTTGTGTGCCCTGAACTGGCCATTTAAGAATGTGGCTTGTTTACAGTGAGAGGATCACAGAGTGTGGAGCGCAGCTGAAGCGTGCCCTGCCCCCCTTCTTACGGCAGCCCGGGACTCCTGCCACCGCATTCGACTGATGCCGCTGCACAAAACACTGCCAAAACCAAAATGTCTGAGCTAAAGCCTGATTCCGCCGGCCTGGCCATGCTGCTTGCTGCTTTCCAAAGTGGTGACCTGGTTCATCTCCCGAAAAAAGAGGACAGGGTCACGGTCAGACTGATGCAAACGAGGCAGGCAAACATCAAAACTTCATTGCTGTCGTTTTTAACAGTACTTGACATATTAGTGCTGTTACAAGTACTTGAATAAACTTAATGATAATGTATCATTGCACTATTTAAGGTTTATGTGTGGGCATTACTGCTTAATGAAACTGAACATTTGTAGATTTTGACTTTGAGTAAACACACAGCTGAATTTCAGTGCACTTCAGTTATTGCTACTCTGATTTAACCAAGCACTTCCAATTATAATAACCCAAAGCACATTCTGAATTTGTGCACAAGCCCATGCAGCAACTATAAATGCGGCATTCTCGTTCTTTTATGCAATGAAAGAAAATACAGTAGTACACAGAAAGCTCTGATTCAACACGCTAATACTCTTTACTTTTACCAACATAGACACCTATGGTCAATCTATCAACACAGACCTATTCACTTTGTTTGCCTCTGGTCATATTAAACACAATTAATCATGTAATAGAGGAAATCTTTGTTTTGCTATATCTTCCATTAAAATGTAAGGACTTTCACCTACCTTCTTCCTTTTGGCTATGTCAGCATGCATCAGTGGGCGGGAAAACTAATATGAACAAATAATATCAGGTTTCACCACCCACTTACACCACCCCCACCTAACCGCTCAGCAAGCTCAGAGAATGTCCCTTAGAAATAAGCTTGGATAATAATGTAAATTAAGACAAATGATTACCATCTTCATTATAATATCATAACGATCCAAAGACAGTTACAAAGTGCCACATGTGAGTGAACCATAGCCTACAGCTTGCATTTTCCCTGATGGTAATATAACTATAACTATCATATGGACTAGCTTTTAATATTACATTAAGCGACACTTTGTAAGTTTTGGGGATTTGGAGACCTCTCTGGTGGAAATGTGTAATTGCATGCAAGAATATTTTTTAATATTAGTTGTGTTTCAGACCCCCTCCCCTAGAGCCCATGTGTCAAACACAAGACTCGTGAGCCTGACACAATCCTATCTGGCCCACAAAGGATTTTAATTTTCTATTTATATTAGCCCATTTCACAATGCGCTGCACTACAGTCCCCAGCATGCACTGCAACGTAATGTGTGCTCTGATTCTCCAACCCCAACAACAATCTATGGGACAGCGGTTACTTCTCAGTTCTACAGAATTCCACAACGGCCACATCACCAAACACACTAGCTGCACTTCAGCTGCAGTTCAACCAACATAAATACCTAACGCTAGCTCATCAGCTCAGAAATTAGGCCCAAGTCTTAATGAACGTGCAGCAAAGAAAGGACGCCAGGTGTCTAGTTCAAGCAAATAGGTAGGTTTAATAGACTGAGCTCCTGGGGGAATTTCAATTTTGAATATTTCAAGTATTCATGTAGCATTTCAAGGTCTATTATAAGCGCCTATATTGTACTGCTGAAGATTTTTGTCTATTTTGAATAAACGTGTTGAAGGGCGTGTCTTCCAAAGCAAGTGCATTATTGTACTATTGTCATTATATTATGAATTTGAGACCTAAACATCAAGATGGACCTTCTTTCTGAGCCTGTGTGTGTGACATAAAGACATATTATGTGATCTGGAAAACCTCCACAAATTCCGACCACTTAAGACTCTTAAATTACTATTTCAGGCTTTACGGAGAGACTCATTATGTACAATAATAGCAATATTCTGCAGAGATGGCATGTAAGACTAACATTCAGCAGGTATCTGTGTTTGGTTGGAAACCAAAACATTGTCCAGTCGCCACCTTGGATAGTGAATAAAATATATACATTTGTGTTGTAGACATTGTGACCTCTGGTTCCTATCACCACCACTGTAAAGAAATTCTCTAAAACTGAGTCATTTCATATCAAACCCCCCTGAATGACAAATTGAAAATAGGTAGCATTCCCATTTAGAGCTCTGATTACTCCATTAATCATCAAAATAATCTGTATATTATTTAATTACTAAAATATTGACAGTGATAGCCCCAGTCACATTCTTCAGTCATTTCTCTATATATGCTTTGTACACATACATTGAGGAATAATTAAGTGTGTGTCATTGCAGGAGAGAAAAGACTGAAGCTGTGGACTGTGGACTTTGTATATACTTACACTGTTTGCTCAAGTTCTGCTTCCAACTTTATAGTTGCTACCAACTGTGCGTGTGAAGCGAAAGCTCGGAGTGCTAGAGCAGCTCCATTCATGCGCTGATCGATTTGCCCTGTTGGCACTCGCACGCTCCCGCGGCCTTCGCCACCTCTTGTTTTGATTCTAAATGGGTCAACTGATGCACGTTGCCATGGATACAAGAAGGTGTCAGCAGACGAAAAGGGGAAAATGGGTCCCTGCCTTTCCTGACAGGCTGGGCAAGGCACAAGTTTAGATCAGAGAACAGCCTCTTTGATATAATCATGACTTACTTCACATATATAAGATACTTAGAAACCCAGTCAGTCTGCGCAGAGCTGTAGAGCTGCTCAGCTGGACACATTGTTCCCCTTTAAACATTATCATTGGGGATTTTTGAGTGCAGCTGTACTGTATATATGGAGAGACATGGGTGACCAGATAATGACCGCCATTTTCCTCAAAAATGGAGTCATCGTTCCGGGGACGTGGAAAGTTGGGCTGCTGAGGGTGGTGAGAGGTTGCAACTGCTAATAATAATAATAATAATAATATTAATAATAATAATAATAATGATATTGTTTCAGAGTGGATATTGTACTTTATATTATATGTTTATATTTTCTAAATCTGCAGTAGCCATGACTCGAATCACTTCCCTCAACAACTGTTAGCCACTTTGGGGGCGTGTCATCGTATAAGTTGCAAGGTGCAAAGAGAGAAGGTCTATGTAGAGCGATAGGCTAGTTATGAGCCCCAAAGCATCCTAATCCTAAAGTAATAATGAAGTTTTTATCAACCGTTATATCTCCTGCCTGGTGTGTGTTCCAGTGTTAAACTGTGGGTGTGGTGTACACAGTTACACTGCCACATATCAGCAATATGATTGGTTGCCACTCAGTTCATTTGCATAAAATTCATCCACAACAGCAGAGTGCTGATGTGCCTCAGTTATTTGTATATACTGTTGTCTCTGGTCTTATTATAGCGCTACGTTCTTTTCTAATTAGAAAAAAAACATGAAAAATCGCAAATCATTTAACGTCATCGTTCAAGTCACATATATACTACTTAAAATTTCAGCACCCCACCTTAAAAACCTTCCTGCGCCCTTGCATCCTTCATTCCCTAGTTGTGTAGACCACAAAGGCCTGCACTCCTTTGTTTAGGTTAAGATTGAAGGTCTACAGTTTTTAAAAAGTCAACAGCCTCAGCTGTTCAGAAACGTGCTAAAGGACGCGGGTAAGTGTAAGCTAATCTGATTTAGGGTGTTCAGTGACGGCGTGAGCCAAACCTGAAGTGAGTGATGAATTCAGCCGCATATTTATGTCAATAATTGCAGGAATGCTGCAAGAAGCACACCTAGAAAATAGATCAAAAAAAGCACTGCAGAAGAGCTCTGGGTTCAATTTGTTGGGCAATATAGATAAACATAGACACTGATTTGAAGCAGTTACATTTCTTTTGCTTGTGGTGTGAAACA